TGAGCATACAGTGTTTATTAATATACGTTGGGTAAGGGCAAAACCTGTTGTATAAAAAAAAATTAACATCTCCCAACGCAAAAAAAAAATACATCTTGAAGACATCATAATTGTCATTAAAATTTCTATCCACTTTTTTCTATTGTGTACGTAAATAGCTTCTGTATGATAGACCTAACTGTTCGAAACAATGTAGGAGATACAATGTATCATGTTTTCATACAGCTTGTGTCCTGTGCGTACACGCATCAGCACCCGATGCTCTGCTGTAACGCACACGTTATGAGTAGGTCGAATTGTTGTACAGATCATGTCTGCGTTTACATACACAACAATCAGGTAGCCTCCATTGACGTACAAGAAAATCATCGTGCCAATGTTACGTGAAACATACGGCGTGATACACAAGGACATTTTGTTTTTCAAAACTAATGTTGCAATTCCTCGACAAATCCAGAGGTTGGCGCTCGGCAGAAAATGCCCCCCCCCCTATTGAGGCGAACCCAACAATTTTTGTCTTTTAAGAGGTACTTAATAAATGACCAGTTGGAACAGCAAAAGTAAAACACAGGGGTAGTAACAAGAGAAAAAATGTCGACGTCATGCGCACCCCTCTATATCCTCTATCCTGGCCTATATTAGCGAGGCCAGATGTTTCCGTTTGGAAGCCGCCGTTTGTGCCACATTCTGCAGAGGTGGAGTGCATGGAGAAAAATCTGCGCCCTCTTTGGCTCGACATGTACGGCTTATACATTTATGTACGGGAGAACGTCTGGATTGATGTACACCTACATATTTATTGCCATTGCTATAACGTCTCATGTGTATTTACCCCCACTGTATAGAGTTATCCCTTCATCAAGCCTAGTCAAGAATTTCCACAATGCAGTCAACACTTGATGAGGTCACACTGAGGTACGTGGCCTCACATCTGGGCAAGGAATGGAAGGCTTTGGCAACTTATTTGGGAGTCAGGAATGATGAGGTTGACCGGATTCAAGCAAGTCACCGAGGTACAGAGGAGCAGATATTCCAGATGCTGATGACATGGTGCCAGCGGTGGGATACGCCTAGTAACCACGGGGGAAAATTGAGTTTCTTGCGAGATTGCCTGATCAAGAGTAAAAGATCGGATCTAGCAGAATCCTTATTGGGTAAGATTAGAAAGTATAGTATAAACAGTGAGATTTGTACATTTTGTGCTATATTTCAAATCCTCGTTCGAGCACTTCATTTACAAAAACGCTAAATAACTGAGGGAAGAAAGAGAGGGAATTTTGTCCTGAGTGTAATTGTTTGTGTACTGCGTTTGAGATACGATCTGTTTTGTCATATCCTAGATTCAACGGATCATCTGATGGATTGGAACTTTAACCGCTGCTGTGAGGAATTTATCGAGTACTACAGAAACACGATGGGGGTGGTTGCTTTGCTTCCATGGGTTCCATCAGAAGTGAGCAAGGTCAGCTACATCGGCGTTAAACTTCAATTCACCGAGCAAGCGAAAAAAGCCGGAAGGTTGGTGAAGTTTCGTAACATTGACTCGTACGAGGACTTGCTGCGCCTAGAATATCATGACAGCCAACCAGTCAGATTTATCCTCCTTTCTGGCATTGCCGGTAGTGGTAAGACAACTGTCGTGTCAACGATCGCCACCGACTGGGCAAGTAAGAAACGAGGATCACCACTCTCAAATTTCAGTCTTTTGATTGCCCTGAGTGTGCGTGAACTAAAGCGTGCCGCTGACCTTGGTGAGGCAATATTCGACCAGATCCTGGCAAAAGATACCACGGTGAGTCTTAAATCTCTGATAAATCGCATACAGTCCCACGCTGAAGAAGTCCTTGTCGTGTTGGACGGTGCGGATGAGTTTGATGAGGACGGATCGCAGCTGCCCTCGGAAGGTGATATCATTGGCATAATCAGTAACAAAATTCTCCGTGGCTGTACCGTCATTGTAACCACACGTCCCCACACGGTGGATAAGTTGTGCGAGCTGAACCCATCTTTTATTCGTGTCGAGATCAGTGGCTTCTCAGACAGTGGTGTAAAAGAGTACATTCAGAATTTCTTCAAGGGTTACGACCCAAAGGTTTCTGCCGCGCTCGATCATCAGTTGATCGAATCAGAGGGTCTGTACAGTCTGGCAAAAATACCAATGATGTTGCTCCTCATTTGTCTGATTTGGTCGGAGGAGAATGAGCTCCCCGAGACATTGACAGAGCTTTTTAAAGAAGCGGCTCTTTTCATGTTGAAACGGTATTCTCAAAGAACCGGCAACCACAGCCAGGAAGAGCAATTTCTTGAAAGTGAGTGGATGGAGTTTGTACAGGCATTAGGCAAGACAGCGCTTGATGGCGTCCTGCTTCCTGGTCAGAAATTGGTGTTGAAACCCTCGGATTTTGAAAATTCCCAGATGGTAGACAAAGCATGTAGTGTTGGAATTCTATCAAAGGAAAAAGTGCGAAGTAAGTTAAGTTCGGTGCAACATGTTACTTTCTTTCATAAAACCTTCCAGGAGGCAATTGCTGGATTTTACTGGGCAAGTCTGGTTGAAACTGACGGAGACTCTTTCAACCGTTATCGCAAACAAATAAGTGAAGAAAACTCATTTAATCTTGAGTACGTATTGCGATTCTGTTGTGGAGCAAACGTAAAAGCAGCAAAGTCTCTTTTGACCCATGTAACTGACTGTTTCAGCACAAAATGTTCAGAACCAGCGATGACGACAGAACTGAAGAATGTACCAAACCGCATAATCTTGAAACCTGTCTCATCCGAGGAAATAAGAGGGAAGAAGATGCAGCGTTTGTGGCTAATGATGCATTTTGAGGCACATTCTCGGGATCTACACAGCATAGACAAACCAATGGATAGACACAAACTTAAATTCGACTTTGATTGTACAGAGGAGGAGAGAAATGCATTTGGATTTTTGGTGGACTGTGCCTCTTCCGTCTGTGAATCGTTCCTGAACGAAATACACCAAGTGTCCATGAGCAGCATCAATGAAAAAAGTGCACCTGTTGTTGCGACGATCTTGAAGCAAGGCATGGTGAATATCAGAGATATTAACCTGCAGTTCGGTGAAAGTGAATGTGAGGAAGCAGGCTGTCACTGGCAGATGGACCTTGGCTATGCTCTCTCGAAGATTCAACTTCGAAACCTTTCCCTCTCTGGGCATTCACTGCTCCAGAAACAAGACATTTCTGCTATCTTTGGAACACTGAACTCTTCTGCTGTCTCTTACTCACTTGAGACCTTGACTCTATCTTCAGTTGCCTTCAATCCAAGATATCTTAAGGAATTCCTTGAAAAGCAAAGTATGCAACAACCTGCCCTTCCTCATTCTCAGACTTACACATGTACCAACACATGTGACCGGGACGAGGACTTAGAGGAGGCTTCGAAAGGCCTTCCAACGGGTTCTCTGAAAGTGCTCGACGTCAGGCACTGCCAATCAGATTCATCTGCATTTTGCCTTAAACGACCATTTCCGAATCTCCAAGTCTTAAGGCTGATCGATGATGGTCTCCAAGAAGAAGACATGTGGCATATTAATAGTCTTCTCTCTCGAAGTCCAATGCTCCTAGAGGTTGATTTCTCAAGGAATAACATCGGTCATGGTTTTATGCGTCTTACTGAGCAGCTGTCACATCTTGGTCAACTTCAAGTACTTAAACTTACCGACACAGGCCTAAATTCAGATCAGTTTGTCCACCTTGCCAGACAACTTCGCGTGGCCAATCTTAGGGTCTTGTCCCTGAGTTGTTATAAATACTCACCAAAGACAATAACTGCAGAAGCCCTGCTGGCAATTTTGCAATGGTCGTGCATGTGCTCGTCCCTGAAGGAACTTGACGTTAAGCAGTGTGTACGAGAATTCCCCGACGTAGAGGTCTCAGCCGATCCTCGGACAGCACAACCCATTGAGGAAATACTTCAGAGCTCAATGGAGAATTTGGATTTGAGCAGTAACCGCCTTGGGAAGTATGCACCACAGATCATTAAGCTTTTTAGCTATATGCCCTCTTTGAAGAATCTCGATATGAGTGGCATAGGTCTCACCTATCCCGATGCAGTTCTTCTCGTTGAGGTTTTGCCATCCTGTCAACGGATGCAAGAGTTACATGTAGGAGACAACAACAAGATGGGAAACAGCGGTCTGGAAGCACTGCTGAAGGTGACCCCGAAGCTACCAGACTTGAATTATCTGTCACTGCCGGACAAGGATGGAGAACCTCCTGAGATGGTCCGAGAATGTCTCCGTCACGGTCATCGGTACAGCATCATCAGATATTTTTACCAGTTTAATCGGCCACAAATTGCTGCTGTAGTTGAAGTGATTAAACGATTTGAGCAAGAAGGGCAGAAAGATTTGAGATAGAAGTGTGAAAAAAGTTTGGGTTGAGCATGGTGTTACAAAGTACACCAGGTGTAATAATTTCATAATCTAAACCATGCCTAATCTTTCTCTGAAAAACTGGATGTTAGTTTTTTGTCCTGACAGTCTTTTGAAATTGGAGAAGTAAACGCTCATCTCATGATATTGTTCCTATATAAGCTCTGTCGTTTAGACTGCTGTGAGAAGTCTTTTACGTCTGTGCAACTTGGTTGTATAGTAATTATTTAAACTGGAGCAAAGCAAGACAATTAATGTTATAAGTCTAAGCGTTCCAGGAGACCATGAGTCTATGTCCATTTGTATATAAAGAAACAATGATGTTTACACACTTCAGACAAACTGGAGGAGAAACTAAAATGAGGCATCAGGTGAAGGAAATTCCCCTGCTTCTCTGAAATTGACTGTAATGTGAAATATCGACGTTGGATGCCTAGACAAATTCAAAAGTTAGATTTGCTGTAATATTGTACCATAACGCAATATGGATGCACGCAGCTTGTATAAAAAGCGCATTTGATTTCTATTTACAAAAAAAATTGGCAGGCGCTTCTTTAAGTTCTTTTCAAGTCCCCCCACCAAAAAAAACTTGCCCGATGAAAATACAGGTTTTTCATGTATGCTCTCGAGCACTATTCACGAACTGCAGGAGTATGACCCTCAGTTTATTCCGCTTAATACTTGTCAATATCTCTTTATACACTGCCATAAACTATACAAAAAACGATAAATTCTGTGAGACTGTCACAATATTTAAAGCAGCACACTAACAGTTTATTTCTTTTTTACCAATTACACTTACATTTATTTTAACAGATTTATAAAAGTACACTAAGCAGTTAAAGTAATTGCCAAGATTTCCACGAGTGAAGGTGGTTTATGGGAAAGTTGTAAAAGTTTGAAGAAAAGAAACGTAAGCCCATCGTTTAGGTCTGAAACAATCTTGTCATATACCGTAGTTTTTGTAAAAAGGCCAATTAGTTGTAGAGCTATATTTAACTCTGTGGTTAGATCCTACAAAAATTAGCAAGAGAGAACTAAAGATTTATTGGCCCAAGGGAGGGAGTCATTTATTGCCCTCATTGGGTCTGGAGAATTTTGGATTTTTATTTTACTATCTGAAGAGTCCATAATGCAGGAGTTTAGTTTTACACCTCAATGCAAGTAACAATCATCATTTTCCAGGAGCTCGATTACTATGCTTGATTGGACAATACATGTATAGTGTTTTTATTATTGTCACAAACCATTTTTGACCAGATTCGGCAATACAGATATTAAATTCCTTTAGATATCATGAACTTTTTCACAACTTTTTGATATGTTTAATGTATTATTAAATTAAAAAAAGGATTTAAAAAATGAATATTATTCTTTTCATTTTTTGCCTTACACATTGTATTAATTTCAACCAGCTTGGTAATTGTAACACGGTTGTCTTTTATGAAACACTAATCATGCTCAAAATCCGCGATAATTATTGTAACGAAAATTAATTTACTTAAGGGAGCAGACCACTAATTCAAGTGAGAATTTCTGGCCAGACCATTGGCATTAATTTGAAAGTGCCCCCACTGTATCTTCTGGAAAGGAGATTGTTTGGCCCCCAAAATGGTGACATTGTGTAAATCGTTGCCACGATCAACTCCCTGGGTCTTTGAGCTTTCATATGAGAGCAGAATAGGTAAAACTACGGTTGAAAAATGGTCCTTAGTGCCCGAGAAACTTTGAGGATTGCCACTTGAAAAATGGCTGCAATCAGACTTCGGAAAAATCCGAGGTTTATTTTGTTTTGTGGGAATAATTTAAAAAGGTAATTGGTTAACCCACAAAAAATTGAAAAGAAATGGAAAGATTAGTGACAAGACAATATTTTCATTAATTGTTTCAGAAATCTCAGGGATGTTGGCATGCGTGTTACTGGACCCTGAACAATGTTGATTTTACAATGTTTTCAATGAGGCTTGAATTAGTGGACTGTACGCTGCTTGTAGTGCGCATGTGCAGCCCGACGTTATATCGTTTGCTCCAATGTTCTCCTCGTTGGGGCGCCACGGCTGTGCACGCGCTGTGGTGTAAATTGTGGTGTAATTGACTGGAACGTTTAAAAAGATTGTTTCTGGTTGTTTGGGGCAGTGTTTTGGGGGGCTGGTCAGCTCGATAGATCTTGGAACATGGGAGACTGCAACTTTTCAATGCGGGGACCGGGAATAAATTGAAAAACAAAATGGAAAAAGAAACACGTAAAATAACAGCATCATCTCTTCAAAAGCTGCCAGGTTCATGCTGCCCACCTATATACACGATGGACGCCACCCCATTCAGAAGAGCATAATTTAACATCCACTCTATTCGTGTAAAAAACTACTCCCTTTGACTGGAACTAGGGACAATTACGAAAGAGAAAGTTATTCGTTCGAATAAATCATATTTTTGAGTTATCGACAGGGGAATTTCAATCTAAATTCAGAGTGACTTTTCTGTCTAAATTGTTTAGTACCTAAACCATAGGCCTCCGGGAGGCGCAGTTTCACTCTTTGGAAACAAAGGAGTTTGAGAGGCTAGACCTTATCATAGCTGCACTGCGAGAGTTACCCAGTGCGTGTAGTTGCTTTAGGAATCAAGGTGGGAGGGGCAATTGAAATAACTGAGGGGTGCTTGGTGGACCCTGGCAGGGTGGGTGGGACATGGATATTAACTGAGCAGGGTTCCTGATACGGTGTTGATGCATGATAATGATAATGCAGATTTCATGTTTCACGAATGTTGAGTTTGGTGAGCTTCAAAACATAGAAATCCCTGTCAAAGTAACTTAATCAGTGCTTCACTGAGTAAGAGAATAATCAAGAAAAAACAACGACTTAACTTGATTGTAAAAACATTTTCATTTACTCGAGCACTTGTTTTGGAAATTGCTAAATTGGGAACCTGTCGATCAAAGCTTTCTTTTTCAGAAATGGATTAGGTTTCCGTTCTTTCTCAGTAGGTTGGAGTTTTTCAAAGATATTTTCTGCATTCCAGTGGGCCTTATGGAAGGAATTAGGAAACGTATTGACCCGTAAGTGAAGACCAAAATGCTGAGTAGGCCTACAGTTTTCATAGACAAAGTGAACACGGAGAAGCCTTCTTGTGAAACTGAAATTTTGAATATGTTCGGAGTTTACCAACCATGCCATTAGGGCTACTTGAGCTGAAAATGCTTTTAGGTCTGATTCTTAGCAGACTTAGGTTAAAATAAGCAAAGAATTTTGAATCAAGGCATTGAGCCTAAAGCCTGCTTTTTGGAACGTACCTATTGCACAAGCTGCAGGCTGGACGGAGTTTGAGGAACAGCACAATCACAATAAAATTATTGTTCAAGTTTAGTTTCACATTTCACCATGCCACCACTCTCCAGAGAAGATTAAACCAGCTGATTTGGGAGTCTTGGAGTCTGTTTTTGTGTTATATTTCTCTTTCATTTGGTTTCTTTCTTTAACTTGCTGATTGGTCTTTTGAGAGCAGAATTATTTCTCGAAGACTAGTAAATACGCATATATAGAAACCTGTTTTCGTACTGCTCTGGCGAATCTATGTACCGGTACATGTATTGTACATGTATATACATGTATACATGCATGCATTTGTTGAACAACCTGCACCCACAGCTTTGCAGGCTGTGTATTATAACTAAATGGTTAAGATTAGAAAAGAACTTCGTCAAGTTGGCGAGTGTAGTGCAGAAGAAGTGTCATTAATCTAACAAGTACAATGTTAGCCTAATTATAATTATATGAAAGTGTTGACTAAAGAAACCACTGAAATAAAAGGACTCTTTTTCTTTCACAGTGTGGCCTTTCTAAATTTGGACGCTTGGAGGCGTCTGCCACGACATTCGCACCGTTCTTGTGCCGCTGTACAGCGTGTGTGCCGCCGATAAGGGTGACGTCACCAGTCTGGCTGACAGCCGCGTCACAGCTCGAGTGCAAAAGTTCAAGAAATAGGGCGAATTGTTTAGCAAACAATCCGCAGTTTTCCGATTCCAAAATAAGAATATTTTAATAAGGGGCTAACTGAGATCTTCCATTATCTATTTTGGATGATTGAATTGAGATTACCGAGTATAATGACATTACGAAAATGTGAAAACCGGTGCGCGGAAGAATAAGTTGAGGATTAATTACGCCAACAGTGGCAGTCTTCCTGTCGCCAATAATTCACTACACGGTGCAGTGTACATACACGCTACGGCGCGGCGCGGTAGCTGGCTGGTGCACGCACCTCTATACACAGTACACGTATAATGTGTTGTATGCGGACTAATGCACTTTGAATGCATGTGTTCGAATATAAGGTGTAGTGTGTAACTTATACATGTACCATTTTATGTCACCAAAAGCCAAGCTCTCTACAAAAACCTCGTGAACCATATGTGAGTTGGCCTAGTGTGTATTTGAATTCCAGCAGACTGAGCACAAGCAGAATCCATGAGTGATTACATTGATGGTGAGTCGTGGTGAGTGGGCTAGCCTCCTAAATGTTACTGTTACTAGTCGTACTCGTAGGGCCTGCATGCATTCTGTTCATAACGTGTATTTTGTAAGAAATACTTGCAGTTGTTTTTTTTTTTAGGCTAGTAGGAACATGAACATGACGAAATTAACAACATGGCATGACATGGGTAATTATGTGGTAGCCATTTTGATCCAGGACGAGTTGGCAAACAAAAGACTGGCAAAGATTTTTCGGTCTTAGTTTGTTTAGTCATTAGCCTAAGCCTAGAACTTTGTAGAAGCTTACGAACTTGTATCCTACTTTACTAGTTACCGTCAACATACTTCGAGAACTCGAAGTCACTAACTCTGTGATATGCCGTGTGACTTTGAGGCAAGAAGGTTTACATGGAGTATTTTTTTTTTAATTAATGAGATTTTTGCTCACCAATTTCTCGCTTCCACCCGTTGACTGTCACTCCATTCATGCCGTTCGCATTTATCGGACTGGGCATCCTGCGAGACGCGAAACATGTGCAGCGCCGTGTGTGATGTCATCCCCGCCACCGAAAATGGTCGAGCCAAGTTGCGGAGCCTGAATGAAAATAAGATTTCCAACAAGCTGTGTACATCACTACCATCAAAGTACCGTGGTTTCTTTTTATACTTGGTGAACAGGCACCGTTGATGTTAAACAGAGAGATGTTCAAAGCTCACAGAAGGTGAACACAGACATCCAGCTGCCTATTTCACAAAACTTGGTGTAACTTAGTTGTGCAATATTTTCACTGAATTAAACATTGAAGATGAGGAAGGGCAAATGACTTGTAATAGATTAGCCATGCTCACCATTTTGATAAAGTTTCATCTTTTCTGTAGATGTGAGAACTGGAATGAAATTCTGGAAGTTCCTCACTGAGCAAAAAATTAATTTCATGTATCTTTCCCCTTCAAAAAACAAACAAAACAGTACATTTCTCATATAAACCTTGACAAGTTGAGCAGTGAGCCTTACAGCAAACATTTTCAGGTTGTAAAATCATCCAGTTTTAAATTTGTTCAGCACAGCTTATTATGATTCCGTAAGTTATACCAAAAATTGTTTTGCAAGTTGAATAATTACATGCACGCAGTGTTTACCTTCATGAAATGTGTCATAAATTGTTGCACAAACTGTGCAATAAAACGTGGCGTAAGTGAAGTTATGCTCCAGCTTTGCATAAAGTTGTATGAAATCGGCTGCCAGACCTTTTTTCTTTCTTTTTAAGTGAGCTGTTCTTGTGTCCAGACATTGGCCCTCCAGACTCGATGCGAACAAATACATGTAGTAACTGATAGACACTTGCAAATGATTCGACATTTTCGTCTGTGTAAGTAACCCTGTCTAACAAGCCTGACCTGAGTTAAAGTGCACCTTCAGTGTTCTCCAAGATTTGACACCCCCCCCCCCCAAACAAATTGAATCGCTGGTGGATTGGGTTAAGATGTGGGGAAACCCCATCATCAAAAGACAGAGTTTGGGCTGAGTGTGTTTGTTGGCATCTGAGAGGTTCAGGACAGCATTTTTTTCATTGCGATAATATTAATACATGCACGTGTAATATGAAAGGGACAGTGTAGAACCCAAAATTTGTACGTACTTGATGGCCAAAGTTTTGAGCTTGGTGGCAAGTTTTTAAACAAAGTGTACATATAAGCAAAGCTCGATGGGCCGCCAGGCTGCTTAAGTTGGAGAACACTGCACCTTCACCAGCAACGAAGAGACGGTTTGGTGGGAAGTTTCCAATCAGTCTTTTGCACGTACTTGGTGCACACTTTAAGACCTTGCGTGTACATTCAAATACAAATGTTTTTGCATGTGCTAGCCATGTCCCACATACATGTACGTAATTTCACATGAACCTGTGCAGGCATGTGGTGAGTCCCCACGAAAGGACAGTTATTGCTACCGGTATGTAAACACAAACCCTGCCTTGTTCTTCCCTCCACCCTCGCCCACTTGGAGCAGCTATGGCAAAACTTTAACTTGATACTCTTACAGTTGAGGCGAAGCTGTCAGGGAGAGGCTTACAGGAAAGTTGATTGATTACATTCAGTGCGTGCATGGATGTGGATGAGACGTGATCTTGTTATTTGTTTTTAACTGGCAGATTTATGCATGAATCTATCTACACATATCACATAAGCCCTGGGACAAGTGATTACTTAAGACTACATGTACTTGTTCATTCAGAGAGTTAAAGCACTCACTGTGATAATCTGTGCTGTTGGTTTGGAAAGTACTGCTGGGCAGGAAATGCTGTGTAATTTGGCGCTTGTAAAGGAACTATAACGGATATTGTCACAAATTGGTTAATTAGTGAAGATTTACGCAAATGGGCAGTGAACATCGCAGAGTAATGCAAGGGATTTTGAAAGTGCGCTGTCATCCAACTTCTGTCTTCACACGTTCCAATCTGCTGACCTCATCCCTTCTCCTTGCGTCAGCCTTTTCTTTAGGAATGAACTAGTCACATTTTGATTGTCTTGCTTAAAGAGTAGGGAGGAGCATTGGAATGACAGGTACAGTAGGTGCATGCAAGCATGTGTACATGTAACACTGTTGGATTCGTCAGGAAGTATGTCAGTGCTTTATGCAAGTAATTTTGTTTGGATGGTGTTTAAGGCAGCAGTTAATGGACTGATCTGATGGAATGGCTAAATTTCAAGGTCACAGTTTTAATGTTACTGTCTTCACACATTGTGTTGATGCATTTCAACTCTTGCCAAATCATAATTTTGCTTAAATTATGATTGTTTTCTTCTACAGAGTTTTACCCAATTTTGTCAGAGTCCTTGGAGTCGTTGGGCAACTTTTGAACCACCACTGCAAACACAAAGACACATTGCCCAGTTGGGTTGTCACTTACTTGGGCAGTCGAGCAACATGTCCATGGCCAGTCTGTTTTCCTTCACCAGCCCAGTGGTGAAGCGACTCCTCGGCTGGAAGCAGGGTGATGAGGAGGAGAAATGGGCCGAAAAGGCGGTGGACTCCCTGGTCAAGAAACTCAAGAAGAAGAAGGGTGCCATGGAGGACCTGGAGAAAGCTTTGTCACGCCCCGGTGAGGTCAGCAAGTGCGTTACCATCCCCAGGTCCCTGGACGGCCGGTTGCAGGTCTCGCATCGCAAGGGGCTCCCCCATGTCATCTATTGTCGTGTGTGGCGCTGGCCCGATCTACAGAGTCACCACGAGCTGAAGGCACTTGACATCTGCGAATATGCATTTGGCAAGAAGCAGAAAGAAGTCTGCATTAACCCTTACCACTACAAGAGAGTAGAAAGTCCAGGTAACTATTCAATTTAATGTTGGTGTAGAGCTGTCGTGTCAAGTTGTCTTTGTCGATAACAAGACCTTCTGTTCATTTCATGTTTATTCATCAGGACTAGCAAATGAAAGTTTTTCTGTCCAAATTAAATTTGATACAAGTGATTTCCACATAGAAAGTTTCACCCCTTTGCTGTTCAACCAAACCTTAATCAAAACAAACCCAAGACCAAAACTAAACAATACAAAACACAAATAAAAAAAGCACCAAACCACACAATTGTGCATAGTCACTGACCTGAACCGAGACACCCCAATAAGTTGTGTTTGAATAAGCAATGCATTTGGGGGGACATACATGTGTGTAGATGGATTGATAGCATGAGCACAGAAAACTGCACATGTGCATGAAGCAAAATAGATTCCTCCTATTTGTAAGGAACTTTATCGTACACATGTAGTTCAAGTAATGCTAAGAAATAGTAAAGATGTCCTTCGAGCATGTGGGAAAAAAATTAACCATCCACAGAAGAGCGCAAGTGTGGGAGGCGTGTGTGTGTGTGAAGGATTAATTAGGTTGGGTGCACCTTTTATGATTTTCCTAAGCTTTGTAACTAACCCATCGTTCAGCCGCGCTGATCAACCCCTCGGTGGATCTGTTCAGAGTTAATCCCCTTCAGAGAAATAAAAGCCATGGGCCAGCATCAACCTTGGTACAACCACTGAGGCAAGAAAGACTCCCTGGCTGAATCATGAGCTGGCAGGGCAGTTTCCTGGAATGGTTTAATGCCATTTCACCCGTGGTTTCAAACCGGGAGGGACACTGTACAATTGTAGGCATTGCCACATTACAGGGCTGTGACTGCTCTTTTGAATGCAGGACGTCAAGCACCAGATTAAGACAGTGGAATTGAAAGTGGAAATACTTTCAAACAACTGATATCGTTACAAGATGGCTTGTCAAATAAGCCACTGTACTTTTAATTTCATCTGCCATTAATTTCTGTACATTTACATGTACATACCAATAACATCATTTTTCTTCAGGGACCATGGCAAATGTACAAGTGATTCAGACATGTACATTGGACATGGCAGTTTCATGCTGTGTTCTCCAAAATAAAATCTGACCAAATTCTTGGCATTGACAAAGTCAATTGTGCAGTTGTTGCATGTGCATTGGGACCAAGCTGGCTGTCACAGCAAGTGTTGTTGGCCCTGTAAATGAGTTGTACTCCACAAAGTGCAATATTAATCTTGTCCCGAAGAGGACGGGTGTGATCCTGCATCAAACTGAAAAATGTTCGACTGATTTTTCTTTCCAAGAAATCAGTCTGAGGAGCCTGAAGTGAACTGTCTGCCCAGAGTCGAGGGGAAATTTTTTGCGGCAGACCCTGCGTGGCATTTCACTTTTTGCACTGAGCCCCCGTGAGCTTGTGTCAAGCGGGTCACACAGGATGTGAGTCACCCCTTGTCTGCTCACTGCATAAGGTGCATTGTGTTATAGGGGGGGGCTTTATTGTTGCATTGTTGACAGGTGATGACAGGATCAAGTGTGGGCTGAACATGTTATATGAACCTGTCAAAATACCTGACAGAAGATGGATGATTGCCATACATTTTTCTGCAAGGGTTTTTTTTTTCTGTTGATGTTGACCTATGTTGCACATCTCCAAGAAAGTGTGTACTGTTATGCATGTCTTGTTTTCCATGTTTCTTTTGTAGTGTAGTTCACATAAAACATCAGCATTGGAGGAGACTTCTTGATGAGCTGGCAGAGTGAAAGGACTATTTTGTTCATGTTTAAATTTTTATTCAATTTTGTTGCTTAGTATCGACACCATTTCACTGTGGATTACTGTGATTCGGCAAAAGAATTGTAATGAGGTGTTAATGTGCGGTACGCTGTAGGTGAAATACGTGCAAGAATGAATATTAATAAATATAAAAATAAATATATAAGGTCGGAATCCACACAGGTCAAATAAGCATGCGGCATGGTAGACTTTTGCCTGGTTTGCTAGGGTGATAGTGTATTATGCATTAGTTCACAAATGGCAAGTTATCACCTATAGTGATTTAGTGTGCATGTGCGTACTCGTACATGTACATGTACCGGTACATGACCCAAACAAGACATGGAAAGAGAGTGACATGCACACAAGTTGCATGCTCCAGCAGTCCGTGGTGCCAAACTGGCGAATGTTACAAAGAAAGAAAATATGCTGGCAATATTTATGAAGTGTAGTCAAACAAAAATACAATACCTACCGGTACATACGTTCATGCAGATAGTCCGTAATAAACTTCCAGTCCATAATTGAGAACTACATGTAATTCTGACTATTCACCTTCAAAACCATGCAATATTCGTATAATTGTCAATGATTGGTGATATTATTTAAGAGGCAACATGCATATTATCTTAAACTTATGAATTGCACACTGAACCCAGATTTCCCTCCAACATTTCTCAATACTCCCACCACCGTTTATCAAACATTTGTGTGGAAAACTACTGAGAAGAGGGGCTGGGTTGTAAAATACGCAACTTACGCATGTATTTTATCAAATTGGTTAACAGCAATGTTGGACATTATAGAGGAGACTAGCTACATGTGGAAAAATAACATGTTCACATTTCATTATCTGGTATTAAAAGACAACCTACATGTACATGCATACATTCTGGCCCAGTGCTATTGTTTGGCGGAATAGAATCCTGCACTACACACTGGAAGAATGGTGTCAGAGTTACTCTTGTGATTCTGGATCAGTGATTCATGTGGTACATGTATCTTCAGAAATGGGCTCAGTCTGAATTGCGAATTGCTGGGGCAAATCTGTGAGTGGGCATAGTGCATTTGGGCATTTCCACAGTGACTCGCGTTACATTTTAGTTCATTTTGAAACTTTTATAACCACACACATACTGAAATGTAGCAGTTAAAAATTCCACTTACATGTACTTTGTGTAGGTACCTACTGACACTTGGTATAAAATAACACAAGTAAAAAATGATTTCAATAGATAACAACGCTGTTATTGCATTGTAATTATAGCTTGACTCGCGTTAAGCAAAAAGGAAAGCAGTAAAATCGGCTGAGGTTTAAATCAAATTTCTCCTCAAACTATGAATTGGAGAAACCAATGAATAGTTATCAGAAACTCGGAACTCAATACCATTTCTACATCACCTGAAGTGATACATGTATGTATTTCCCAACCAGTTTAGGAAAAAACATAAATAATCGATGTGGCTCACGTTGCCGTGACTCGTGTTACCTCAAGATTACCCTAGATTATGCACACATTGGCTTGATTGTTTGTGTGTGCATGTAGTTGAGAAGACAAATAGTTGCCAATTTAACAATTATGACAGTTTCATATCATGAACGATGAAAAAATTACTTTGAGGAATTGACATGTGGTACCCCCCAAAAACCATGATGTACCGGTAATTGTCATTTTGAATGAATGCCACATTACCTCATACATGTATGGTTGATCAAACACACATGACAAGAAGTTGTAATGGCCACGATGGTTGACCGTGAATTTTTCAGCCTGTTCTGTTAAGCTTTTGTTAGGTTTGTTCCTTTGCCTTCTTCAGCTCACAACTTTTTCCGCTCATCTCATTCTGTTGCTTACGGTAGTCACTGTACATGTACATGTGTACTTCTCGGTAGCACAAAGCTTTTCATGTCTTTTTTGCTGTCTTTCTGCTGCTGTGAGAGTCATACGTGTACATGTACAGCTATGAAATCTGAAATGAAAGAAACAGTTGAAGTAAAATTTTGTGACATTTCTTATGGGTCATTTTACAAAAATGAAAGGCAATTAATGATACCTTGCAAATTACTAAAATGCTTAGTAACAAACATGTATGTCCTTGTTTTTTTATTTGTGAAGTACATACAAATTGGAACGTTTCATGTTCTGTCACATTGATTCCTTAGATTATTTGGTGCTGGTAAACATGTACATGTATGATGTTGTGGGCTACAAATTACATGTACATGTATCAAAGGTGACCCTGCGGGCACTTCTGCTGGGTTGTAGAAAACAGTCAGCTCTTAAATCACTTTACATGTATGTGTGGTTTATTAAAGAAATTGTTCCTAAACCATTTTAATACAGCACCATTCAGCAATACATGTACATGTGTATGCCAAGTGCTAGTAAGTAATATTGTCAACTGTGCAAATTTTAGGCCTAGTACATGTACATGTATGACGCGTGAAATGCAGAAAGTGAAAAATGAGGCTAAAATAGAACAATTTACCGGTACGTGTATATGCTGCATTGTGTATAATCTGGCTAATTCCATGTATTGCAATAACTGTGATGGCCATGCTTCATAGAATTGCATGCATTTCATTTGTCCAAATTCTACAATTGGAGCAATTTGTGACTCTTTTTCCCCTTATTTTTTACTTTCACTTTGGGCAAAGTTTTACTTGTCTTTCATTTTTCACCCCCATTGACATGATATTGTCAGAAAGTTACATGTACACGTACTTACCTTTATTTCAGATACATGTACATGTAGATGATGACAGATGCATATCTTTTGTTTGTCTGCCGACATATACATATTTACATTAAATGAGGAATGTTGCAAAACTAACAGGAACCAGTATATGGAATTAGGAAAATATTATCTGCTGCCCTCTATTTAAGATGTCAGTAAACTTTAGAAAAAACAATTGGCACTGATGAAAAGATAAGAAGCACTGCAACTACTGCAGTTTAAATTGTGACTCGCGTTACCCTACAGCTGAATGCTGTGACTCGCGTTACATGTGACTTGCGTTGCCAACTTTCAGTGCCAGATGTATTATCCTAGGCAGATAACCTAGGGTTGGTGATTTTCTAATTTGGTTTGTTGCACACTGAAGGAGGAGGTTTATAATTGACAAACTCAATACCCCTGGGGTATTGGTATACAGTTAACTTTTTGTGTATTATGTGACTCACGTTATATCATCACCACCACCTGATTCAACGGGTCTGTCCTG